TCCACTTGTCACTGTCAACATCCTTACATCCTTATGCTTGCCAGAGCCCTCAGGGGTTCCCAAACTTTTAAGCTCACGACCCCCAAAATGAAGGGTACCAGAGACTAAGGGACCATCACTGTCCCTGGAGATGGCTGAAGCATATATATATATGTATATATATATAATGTAGCACAACGCAAAGCACATGCACTAATAGGCCTATCCAAACACTGGTAACATAAACAGCACAAAAGAATACAACAGCCTAAAAACCATCAAATTATTTCATATAATTTATTGTTAGAAAGGCTAGAAGCAGAATACAAGTACTTTCCATGTATAGACTTGAGCACTGAGTGGACACACAAAGCTTTAAAACGCACACACAGGTGTGTTCATCTTTGTGTGTAAAGAGCAGCAGACACCTACATTGTTGCAGTCATGAATATTTGAAGTATTTTACCACATTCATTTTATTTTCATTTCACTTAACGACACGGTTTTATTTCACTTTGAACTACTTTGTTGTTTCTATTTGTACAATAATGTGTAAAATATGCTTTTTTAATTATTTTTTGGACAGCAACTCACGACCCTCACTATGGGAACTACTGCCCTAGATGACCGCTTTAACCTCCTGGGAAAATCAGTACCAGTCTTGTTTCTAACAAAAAGAAACAGCAACACAGATCAGGAGCGAGTTTTATTATTAAGCATCAACCGCTGCCTTTGGTTACATGTAGGATATCATGAGTCTCTCCAGCGTCTCTGACACAGCCTGGAGTTACTAAAGTGCTCTGGTACCATCTAGTGGTTACTTCTGGCACACACAAACACAAACATAGAACAGCTTGAGTAATAGGTGGGGTATGACAAAAGGAAATCTATTTGTACAAAAAGCAGGGAGGAACAAATCTGTTCATCCCACTCATCCAGCGCAGTACCTCCTGTTCCAGCCATTACCCTGGGAGGCTGCTATAAATCACCGCCCACCAAGACAAACTGGTTCAAACACACATTTTGACTCTCTGCAATATGGATCTGGACCTTCTTGTTTACCCTTCATTTGCCCTCAGGGAAAGCTATTCCAGCTCTTACAGGTATCTTGTTATCAAAAGTTTGATGTTGATATTGTGATCATAAACATCATTGTAATAGTTCAGTCCCTCTAAAGTTGTTTTATTGACTGACATGCTTCTATTACATGTTTGTGTGTGTTGTACCTCTTTTTGTCTCTGTAATAATGTTGTCTTGTTTGCTCAATGCTTCCATTACAGTGTAGATGTTTGATTGTGATCCAGCGGCAGACTGAAAATGAAATGAGTTAGATATCCATCCTGCATTACTAGAGGAAATCAACATGTGTGTTTCATATTGTCCATGGTCTTTTCCAAAATATTTGTTTTGTTCTTTTGACATTGAAAATGTATTGTGATGTTACTAGAGGAAATAAACTGCACTTGATATCCTGTGAAGCTCTCTAAGTGCATTGAATATAAATTCCTCAGTCATCTGCATGATGTGGAAATTTGTTTTTAATGATCTGATTTGTAAAACTTAGGTTTTTCCGAGTAAGACAATGGTTGGACTTTGAACACCGGACCTTGTTAAAGGAAACGTTTCACCAGAGAGCCTTACAAAGTGGGAAACCGGAGGGGGACTTGTTCGGCCCCTTGGGAAAAAGTAAAGAGTGGTTCTCCCCTTGGATTCTAGCAGCAGCTTAAGAAAATAAAGTCCCTTCGGCAAAAAATATACTTTCTTGCAGGCCAGGATCCTTGAGGTACAACTGAAGCTCATAAATTAGCTGATGATATTGTAATGCATGCATGAGGTGCATTTCACTGAAAACAAAGTTCTGGTGTGTTCAATTAAGTGCAAAAGTAAATTAGTTCATCCCATACCTTGAACTGCTCTTATAAAGGAGGTGATAAATTGTCCTTCAATGTATACAACACTCTCAGGAAACAATTCTTTTTACATTAACCACAAATTTTCACTCAAAAGAGTAGATATATTTCATAAAATTCTTTATTCATAAACTTGATGCAAGTTTACAAATTACTTTACATGTTCAAAATCACCCTTGCAATGGAAAAAAAAATGAAACCAAACCAAAGCATGCTAACAGTGCATAACTTTATAACCCGGCCACTGCAGTTAATGAAGCACGGCACAGAACCCAGTATCAGGCTAATTCAGACCTCAGACCAATTTGTTGCTCCCCAAAGCAGAGAAGGTTTCTGTTAGTTGGACGATATGAGATGGTGTCAGAGAAGCTGTTATTCAGTGCACAACATACTTATATTTACGGCTATACCAATAGTCGGGTATCTGATGGCAAACAAATCTGCACTGCTACTTTTGATGGGAATCCTGGCATCTTTAGAAAGAAACTCAGAACAGGTAGAATGTCCTGTAAGTCCATGTGTCTCTTATAGGACCTGGTTCATTAAGTAGAACACAGTGAGAAGTTATCCTGTGCACTGATAAAGTTAAGTAAACAATTTATGAAAAATCGATACAACTAGTCTTTTACCACCCAACCCAACCACTCTTTACCTTCCATCACTTGGGGAAAAAAACACCCATTGATATATTGACATGCAAAATACAGCAATATCAAAGAAACAGGGTGGTCTGAAGCCTAGTAAAACAGGATACTTATAGTTTGATCATTCCAAAACTTGCTTGTTAATTATTTATCAACCACGGAATCAATCTAAGTGTGTCCAATTCAACAGCAAACCACACTGCGATGCCTCTTGGTTTAACTGAGGCATCATTTTAATATGGCCCAATAAAAGATTGACGCATTCAATCTTATGTTTCATGACTAATTCTGAAGCAATCTTTAGCAAAGTCGAGTGTGCAGTATGTATTCCTGAGTTTGCTTCTTCAGATAATGCAGGGGTGGGCTTGACAATGTGACCAGGATGAAGTGACTGATACATTACCAATGGCATCACAACAGCTAACAACCATGCCGAAGACCTTAAGTCCTGTTGAGAATTTGCTTGTGGTGAAACATGAAATCAGTTAGAAATCTGTTATACACATCCAGCAAATGAGTTTAGAACAGGCTGTCTGTTTGATACCCATCTGCCTGTTTTAAAGATATTGGTGGCTGAGGTTAATATCACTGAGAAAAAATACTTAAAATCAACTCAAAAATGAGGAATGCCTGTATGAATTAGCACAACTAAGCTTTCTATGCTGGTTTTCAGGACAATATACTTAAAACAATGCAAGTAACCACACAATAGAACACCCACAACAAACGTATAACTGCATTAATTGGAATGATCCAAACAGTTTTCTGCATATTATTCACATTACATCAAAGACCCGGCACGCTGAGAGGGGACAGCAGTGCTGGGAGTGGTTATGAATAGTAGCCAGAGAAGTGCTAATGGGAAGAGCTGGGTCCTTTCCTGTGGCAAATCTGAACAAATATTTATCAAATCGACAGAAATATTCTGGAAATGGAATAGACTCCAGTGATCTCCCCAGGTGTGAAGCCAGAAGGTATACGGTCGAGACTATTGCTGTGAATTTCAAACTCCGGCTGCATTTTAAAAAACCAGCCATGAGGTCAAGGAAAAGTCAGAAGGCAAAGGTCACTTTTTTTTCCCCTTCCTGTGAACTGTTTGTTATGACTGCCAGATTGGCAAAGTGCTCAGGATGTGAACCTGCTACAAGAACCAAGCAGGTGACTACACTGTAAAGTAAGCTGTTAAGACTTAAGTTTCTTCAGTACAACAAAACTCCTCAAGACTGCGTCTTCACTGCATGACCTTACTGAGGTTCATCCGGTTTGAGTGATCAGATATGAAAAGCCAAACATCTCGAATGCCAGAAAACAGCAGTGTCTGTGCCATTATTGTTACGCCTGCTGTAGTTAAGAGGTGCCATCCAGTGAGGGGAATGGATCTGTAAATGTTGCAAATAACATGAGGATTACTAATCAATATTTTTTAAAAAACCAACAAAAAAAAAAACCGCAGTAGTCATTAAGCTTACATAAGAACATGGCATACTTTCGTTTCCTTCTGCAAGAGTATCCATGAAGCAACTTTTTCTTATTCTAAATGGGTCTCAGGAAGTTGCAGTGCCCTTGCTGTTAATAGTCAAGGGTATATAGTAATACAAGTCTCTGCAAAGCCAAAGACCCAGACAAGGTTACATTATAAACAATTAAATCCTTTTGCAGAAATACAAATGTACATGTTTACACGAGGAGTTAAAATCAACTACATTACAGTGTGATAATCCAAGCACGCCCCTGCTTCGCTTGCTCATGTTTCTAGCCGTACACCAAACCCATCCCTGCAGGGAGATGTCCCGTAGCTGGTTGCGATGATGATGATGGTGGTCTCCAACCTTGGAGCTCAGCAGGATGTTGTTCTTCATCTGGGCTGTCCCATTCAGGCTGCAAAAGTCCTTTTAGCCACCCACCCCCCCCTTCCGCCTCAGGGCTTCAAGCTTTTATAGATAAGAGGTTTGGAAGCGAGCAAGCCTCAGAAGCACATTATTCCAGAGGAGGGATCTTGGTATTTTGTAAAGGTAATACATGAGCACAATATTACAGAGGCTGTCCATGGAAAGAAAAAGCAGTGGTTCTTCCCATCGGCCACATTGAAGTGTCTTCCCAGCCACCACTGCATCGCATCAGGGAAATGTCGCATGCCATTTTCCGATCCAGTCTGTGGCCAAAGAGGCAGAGTCTAGCGACCGGAGCAACAGACTGCTGGATAAAGCCATGCTGCACCTTTCAACTCACAGCCAGCAGGTAACCTCGGCATGCTCGGCGCCAAAACCAAAATGGTGACTTGACGCAATAATTAGACCACCGGTTTCCTGACGTACGCGATGAATGCCAAGATGAAAACTTAGATCGTAAAATACAAAAGGATGTACACAGAGATAAATATCTGAAGAGGACATACCCTTGCGTGTAGCTGATGAAAATGTCGGGTGGGGGATGTGTGTTTATGTGCTAGTATCTGGGGATGGGGGGGTGGGGGGGGGGGGGTTCACTGAATGAGAACTTTGCTTTGGAGTTCAAACTCTTATGTAGAGAACAAAATGGTTTTCAGGATTTAAAAAAAATATTGGTCTCAAGAAAATAAGAATCAATGACATGTGGTCCCAGTGCAGGAAAGCAAGAGTCTGTTTAACCGTCCTCCTTAGGGGGTGTGTACCAGCCTATTGGGGAAAAACAACAAAGAATTAAGAACAGACAAACAAAAAGACTATCTACTTCTACTAACCACCATTCTTCTGATTGGTTAAACTATATCTGCAAATTATTATTATTTTGCCTCATTGACTTACAGCAGCATTTCGCACCATGTCAACTATGTTTATTACAGAAGCCCACAATACAGGGGGGCTCCGCATTTCAAAAAGATTACTTCATTACTGGTTTTTAATAAGGCTTGGCTTTTCTTTAGAGTTTAACAACAAACCTAGTTTTGTACTTTATCATGACTTGGGTTAGAGGGGTGAGGGGTGTAAATCGACAAAATCGACAACAGACTCAGCCAGAGAAGGGTTAGAGAAATGGCCCTGGCAGATCAGTTGCTCCAAGATGACCATTAATGGAATTTATTGTTTCATCTTACTCACACAGATTCACGTGCATCGAATAACTGTGTTCAATGTTCAACATTATCAAAGTGCATACAAGAAGAAAAAAATACCTTTTTTTCGCCAATCCAAAAAACTATCCGATCTGTGACAAAAATCTGTGATCTGACCCAAACTGAGATATGTGACCCATTGAACCACTAATTCAGAATCTTAACTTAGTACTTAGTTTAACACCTTTGGCTGATATTATAGACTTGAGTCATCTTTGGTGATCTCTTCATGATGCAATGAAAGCTAGGCATTAAAGCTTTGTCCTTTCTCCAAAGCTGTGAGACCTTATACAGGATATGTTATCTGTATGATGTATGAACAAATGAAACTGAGTAAACAATCTTTATGCTTCATTTATTCAAATTTTTCTCTCTTCTTCTCTATCTTTGCTATGATTTCCATCAGCCTAACTTTAAATCTCTTCCCCATTGTTCCTCCTTCCACTACAACCTCCACCAGTGTCTAAACCCTATCCTATACTTGTCTCTCATCTCCATCTCTTCAATACACCTCTAACATGTATGATGATATAGCCATAGGGAGTCATTTCCAAAACCCTTCAAAGCTCCATTGTAATGTTCAACTGTGGGCTTCTTTTTTAACTGATTTATGAAACTGAGAATCATTCAAGTGTTCTTTATCTCAAACCAGAAAATAAACTTTCCAACAGAACTTTCCTGCTTTTGGCTGCTAGTTGTATGGTTGGTGGATGGTCCTGTTTGTGCGCTCTAGTGCATGTCTGTGTTGTATGTATGTTTATTTTTGTCTTCTTTAAAGCACATTGAGTTTACATTTGTATGAAATGTGCTTTACAAAGCCCTTTTTTTTTATTTGACATATAAGTGTGTTGTAACAAAAGTGTTCTTTATACTGGCTGATGACCTTTCTCTTTGAGGCTCAAATAAAACCCCTAAAATGAACTGTGGCTTACTCTCAGTTTACTCTGAAATTGAAGTCATGCTATCAAACATTAATAAATTCACAGTGAAAGCTTAGCCAAAGTGACTTCTACTTTTTAAGTAGGACATTAGAATGGATGAATAGCATTTAATCATGACAACACCATTCTTCCAAATAAACTATAAATTCTTAATTCCATCAATGAATGAGTGTAATAGTGTGGACATGATGGATGTAAATGTTGTCCCTGTTAGGGACACGGTACAAGCACTCATTTCAGCTTTGATGCATGAGAGGGATTTGGTTTCAGTAAACAAGGTCAGGGATGCACTCTGTATGAAACTGGAGTCAAAAACACTCACCGTTCTTTTCATGGATCTGAACCAGGGATTTATAGGACTGCTGTGCTCTGGCGAGATTGTACTGGTTCTACATTGGAAGATAAAAGAGAAAATTAACCTTAAAGCAGGGTTCATACATATTTCTGCCAATACGTACATTTCTATGACCTTGAGACAAATTTCCATGACAGTACATTCTCTGAAACGTCTGTGTAAACAAGAATTAAATGTAACGTCAAATTTTACCCCAGTATATACACACACACACACACACACACACACACACACACACACACACCACACACACACACACACACACACACACACACACACACACACACCACACACACACACACACACACACACACACACCACACACACACACACACACACACACACACACACACACACACACACACACACACACACACGCTTGTCTTTTTACTGACAGATTAGACGCACAGTGTGGGAAATATCATCGTCTAACAGCCCACCCCAAACAATTTAGTACCGCCTTGTCTTGGTAACTACAACAAAACGTACATGTTCTCATGTGTAAAAGGCGTTTTATGAAAGGAAATGTTCCAACTATGAAATAAAATACTTAGGCTGATTTAGCTGCAACTAAACCTGGACTGAGAGGCAAGATAATCAGCATATTGTTTCAATACTATATGATGAGATTCTTCATAATCATATAGGTTTCCGCTGTTAAGTGTGAGTTGCATTTTCTGATCACTCAAACGGCCGCCCCCCCCCCCTCCTTTTCAAACAAGCCTGCACAATACTCTACTCAAGTACCGGTAGGTCCAATGAGAGCAGAGAAAGATGATTTCTTAGTCAGTTTGTTCAGTTCTCTGGACATTGTTGCTAAATCGGTGTTGTTTGGAGTTGGTGGTGATTATTACCACTTCTAATCTTTTCTCTACGCACTCTTCCCAGCCCCCCAAAAGGATTTCCACTTACACGGCTTGTCATGGATTTATATCAAGCTAAGATTGAAACAATAAAACACTTTCATAAAATGAAATCATAATACAGGGGATGACACTGAAAACAAAGTGCATATTTCCATGTCAAGTCAGTCTCCTTAAAAAATGGCTAATTCAGTGGTTGTGTTGGGGTCCGGGAGCTGCAAAGATGCAGATGACCTACAATCAATACACTGCCTGTGTACACACTGAAGAAGGAGTCCAGCTGCTCTGCTGACATGACAGATTCGTCATGTGCCATACAGTCCATATTATTCAAGAGAACCACAAGTGACACAATATATTGGTTTATCACACATTAAATAAACAAAAATAACATACAGGGGCATACATAATACCAGAGAACATGTCTATCCCTCAGAAAGGATTAAAAAAAAATGGAAACTGTTCACAAATCAATATCAGTCAATCGAGCGACTCATTCTCTCAGATGGATAAAAAACAAATAAAAACTAAATTCCCCCATGACAACCCTAATCATATCAGTTTATCATTGATTCTTAGTTGATCGTTGGACAAATAAGAAGATATCCAGCTGTTTTCTTGAGATATTGCACTCTACCAAGGTGGGAGACAAACAGACAGATAGACAGACGGATAACCACCAAATATAACAACTCCAGGCAGGGCTGACTGTTTCAGAGGCTTAAAAATAAAGACAGTGAGAAACATCAACTAATTCAAGTCCGAGTCAAACTGAATAATGAGCCAAAATGGAATTTGAATTTAAGAGCAAGTTCCTGAGATAAATTTCCCTCACAAACCTTATCTTGTTACATGCTGTTTCACTAACAGTTTGACAAGAGCAATACAAAAAGACGACTGCATCTTTTCCTACCACAATACAGACACCACGTCTTCCTTTAAAACCGGATTCAAATATTACTCATTTTGCTTTAACAGGAAATTCCCACACAAGCCACTGATAAGAGTCAGGTAACTAGGCCTCAGGCTATTGTCATGGTCCACATGAGTCAGTATGAAAGGTCAACATTGTCACATGACATTTCCTCACTTGAAATGAAGTGAAACCTCTAGTTGCTCATCACTTACTTTATTGGCTCCAAACTGCACTCTGGCTTTTCCTTTGACTAAAGTGGCATTGATCTGCATGATGACAGACTCAATGGAATAGGCACTGCTCCAACCCTGCAAACAGGAAAGTAAGTTGTCAATAAGAGTTAGGTTCTAAACTGTTAAATAGATGCAAACACAATACAACACAATTTATATGCATATAACAAACATTTACTTATGACATACCTGTTTGGTGAGAAGTTCCATGCACAGGGCACCTCCTCCAAGAACATACCTAAAGCAGGGACAGAAATCAATTATAAGAAAAAATGTCTATAAAAACAACTTAATTAAGTCTCTTTCAAAAATAAATATACATTTTTCCACTTACTTAGCCTCAACTTGAAAATGCAGTGGGGAGGGGGCAAACTTTAAAGTGTACTGGTTAAATGAACTCACCCCCCAGAAAGCACTGGCGAAACCACCCGGACAAACGGAGGATCAAAGGGGAAATTATCCTGTAGGGACAATCAGCCGAAACATATTCATTTTTAGACTTCCAAGATTAATAGATGGTGTTTCGAGGTTAATAATGCAGAGGTCATTTTACTCACTTTATATGAGAAGTTTAGTAAAATGTAGTCCATTCCTTCCTTTTCCTTTAGGACTTGTAAATCACTGTGTAAGGGGCTATCTGGATCCACCCTGTTGGCCAATAAATCAAACAATTAGTCATAGTTCATTCTGAAAGACAAAAAGACAATAGCAACAAGGTCCTGGAGGTACTTACGTCCTTAGTTTGACGTGCCATTCATACAGGCTGTCATTAACAAGCTCGACTGAATAGATACCTGCAAAAGAAATGGATTTGATGGATATTGGTAAGCTGCCCTAGATGTCCAATGCCAAGTGTAGGACACAGTGTAAAAATGTAATCATTCCTTTCAATTTATAAACTAAATGCAGTGAGGCAAAGACTAAAACATTTAGTAACCAGTGTCCAGTCTAATTTAACTCAGAATATTCCTTAACATCTATCTGAAGCCTTGTTGGAAGGTGTAAAAAGAAAAAAAATTCCAGTTGAGGTTTAGAAGGTAGAGCAGGTTGTCCACAGATCACAAGTCTGGCAGTTCAAGTGTCAAAGACACTGAGCCCAATTTTTGTTTACAGCAACCTGCGTGGTAGCTCACTGCCATCAGTGTTCAAGTGTGAGCATGAATTGGTAGATGAAATAATAAAATATTGGAATGCACTTATAAAATAGCACAACTTTAATGTAGCCATTTTTACATTTGATTGTAACTGAATGTAGATGTCTACAGCACATTACAGAAGTGGTTCCTCTAACATTCAGTTACAATCAAATGTGAATCCAACACCCTCCACTCTTCAAATATTTTCTGTGGTGGTTTGACGCTGTATGGATGATTGGAACAAAGCAGAGTAGGGGACATAATGTCATGGTGACATGTTTGGGGGGAATCCTGGCATAGTTTTTTCAGAATTTGATTTATGCTTCACTTCTAAATGCATATCATTGGTTTTTGTAAGGCTGCTGAATTAAGAAATTCATGTGCTAACAGTCACCACACCCAAATGAGGGCTGATCTGACCTCATACAAACAAGCCTTCATTAAGAATCTTTTTCACTCTGCATAACTACATTAAAAATCACTCAAAAAAAGATCCCTCTGTGTGTGGCTTTTGTAATTCAATGCTTGATGTTCACTAATTCTCATCTAAAAGATCAAGAGTAGAACTGATGATTATTGTTTGCAAAGTTTTGTGTTCTTTTCACTCAGATCTGGAACAAAAAGCAGACCATTGTTAAGTGTGCATACCTGTCTTGTAACTCTGAGACCTGTAGATCTCTCTAAGCTCCTTCATCAGGCGGTCAGAAGCTTGCACTGAACCAGACACAGCTCCCTGCAAAACACAAAACAACAACTGTAACTATAAAGACAAAGAACACAGTGCTCAGCAAGGGTAAACCCGTCATCTGTACTTAACGTGTGCAAACATCAAAGAGAATATTTAATTCCATTAGACATGATAGTCTATACAAGTGCATGTCTTGAGAAAATGATCAGTGTAAAATGAAAAACACTTAGAATAAATTATATTTTAGACTCAAGTAATAAATCCAGACAGCCAACAGCTGAGCCAAATAACAAGTTGGTGATAGTGCTGAGAGCCCTTCCCAGGGAGAAAAAAAAACACGTCTTCATAGCCTGTGCTGCCTTTAGTGGCAGACACTAACACTGTTCTCAAACATGCACTCCTGAAAAGTTATAAACAATGTTCAGGACAGCCTGCCACTGAAAACATCCTGAGTTATACCTGATTTTACAAACGCAGCTCAGAGTTTTGTGCACGTGTTTATAGGAGACAGCTGTAGACACATTAAGAAAATGATCACAGTTCCTAATGGCAGTTCTGTTACTGTAATGCCTAACCTTATTTTCAAATCTGTTTCCACCATTCACACTAGTAGCCCCTAATGATAAATACATGAAATATATCCCTCTATAAACACCTTAAAGAGAAAAATAAAATAAAATAAAATAAAAATAAACTTACATTCAAGTGGTCCTGCCTCTGGTTCTTTCGGATTTTCTCCAGGATGGCCAGATTCTCCTTCTCGATGCCATCATCCTCAGACTTCTTCCCGTCCACAGGCTCCTCTTCTTTCATTTCATAGTGGTCCAGATCCTCTATGTCCTGTTTGTCAAGATATTATGTTTTAGACTTTGAATATTCTGTGAGTGTCCAAAATACATGCAAAAGTAAAAAAAAAACAAAAAAAAAACAACAATTGGATAAAAGCCTGTAGCAGGACAAAATCAATCATGTACCATAAAATCCAGAATACGAGTTTCACTGGTATATAAGACGCAGTCTGTTTTGGGGGGTTTCCCAGAAAGAAAAAAGGTTTAAACTTTCTACCCGTGTGATGATTTCTAGTGTGTTCAGTGAGCACACAGTGCAGTTTCTGTTCAAGTGTGTCACTCTTTTAGTTCCATCTGTTTTTGCTTTGTACGTTTCGCACTCCTACTAGCTACAGTACGGTAGTTGAGCTCTCAGCCTACGGTAAAAGTTCTGAAGTACCGACGGCCCGTGGGTCGCACTGCCCGACTCTAATGGTCTCTTGCTAAGTTTGATATAGGAGTCATACAATCAAAAGAGTACTCCACAAGGCTTATTCATGATACAATATACCGCCGTTTATGCATGATTTTGACCTTGTGAGGGAGAAATTATGATAAAAAGTGGTGCAGCGAGCCTGGTCTGTGCTGCTATGTATCCCCACAGCTTGCAATCAGCTTGCAATACACAATGAATGGGGATGAATTTTCAATCACGTCAAGTTGCGTGCAGTGGAAATGACGGGGCGTGTGTCTGAATTTTATACCTGCATATTGGTCTCACTGGTGTACAAGACACAGTTTATTTTTAGATAAAAAATAGGCATTAAAAGTGTGACTTGTACACTGGATTTTATGGCAATCGTGTAAAACTGATAACCCCAAATCAAAGATACTTTTCTAGAAACCACATACCATACTAGCATGATAAACCAACAGAAAAACATACAGTACTTCTATAAAAATAAAGTTTTTTTGTCCTAGTAACAGTGCTGCATGATTAGTAGACTCAGGATGAATAACTTGTCACACCACACATTCCTCACAATGAGGTGTGACTAAAATGGATGATAAAAGCATCAACATCTTAAAAGAAATACACTGAGTGTTTGGACTCAAGGTGACAACTTACCTCTCCCATCTCCTCTTCCTCTTCTTCTTCTGATGTGACCTCCTCTGTCCCATGCTACACACACACACACCATATAGAAGGCATTGAATTCAAGCTTAATTAAGTGATGTGAAAGAAACTCACTGCACTTGCAGATGTTTTTGCTCCATGTAAGACCAACCCTTACCTATCATGATCTAAGAAAGAGTCTATTGTTTATCTTAGGGGACAGCTCTATATAAACTCTGCTATTTTATTTATGAGCAAAAGTTGTTTGAAGTGTGCATAATTACACATCAGCATTTAAATAATTTTGGTGTATTTCTTTAGTGTAATCAAATATTAAAGATGTCCCGGCTGTGCAAGCAGATGACATGACATGAGGATTATGATAAGACTAAACTAGGCAGCTTGCCTTTCGGTCTTGTCCCACGGGGCCTGCAGGCAGGGGTTGGTCCAGCATCTCCACATCTGGATGTTGGGGAAGGTTGTACAGCCGACAAAGGTCACAAATGAGTTTCTTCAACTGCTGCAAAAGCTAGGAGGGGCAAAGAAGAGGGGGATACAGAGTTAAATATACCACTCAAGATTTTGAATGAAGCTATTCAGCTATGCCACAGTTCAGGCATGTGATAAAAGCACTATCACAAGCATGAACAGAAGTTGATTATATACTGTATGTGGAGTTTAGCTATTGTATAATGTGCATGAGATTTGACATTTTGTTTAGAATATCACAGGTTCCTGAAAGCAAAACTAGCAAATCATAATTCTGAGACAAAGACAAGTTACAGTTCAAATGCTATGCTGGTTGCAGGACTTTCAAACTGCAGTAGTGGAATGATACTAATTATCTTGCATTGTTGAAGTGTAGTGTTTACATTCAGGCGGTTAACTCTTATTCAGATTTGGAAGGAAAACAAAAATTGTAAAAGAACTATCAAGAAATACAGGAGTTCAACATAAAAGAGTTAAGCAGCAGGGTCATACATTAATCTTAAATTCCCAAAAAGAAGGTTTGTCCGTTACCAAACACACAATATTTATCTTATTTTATCTGGATGTTGACTTGTTGTTCAAACTCAAGAAAATCTTCTGTCCAAAAAACGTACAGTACTTCTATAAAAAGCACAGTTTGTGTCCTACTAACAGTGCTGCATGATAAGTAGGCTCAGGATGAAACGCTAAGCTCAGGATGTCACACCACACTTACATAAGAACCTGCTTGTCACACATTTTGAACTCAGATGTTGTCCCAATGATCCAAAGACATGGCCTTTTGGTCGTTTGAAAAACCTGCCTGTCCTACCAATTCCAATACGAAGCACCTACCAATTGCCAAATGCAAGTAAAAGTATGATGTGGCGTGTAAAACAAATGAGTTCATGCGTCATCTGTGTGTGGTAATCAGTACAAAACACATTGTAAGTTAAAGACCACATTTGTTTTGCAGTGACTGCGCGTCGTCAAAAATTTGGTCACGCTACTTCAATTGACCCTTGCTGACGCTGTCCAGTTCATCAAGCAATCTGTTTTGTACAAGTCTATGTGCGCCTGATTGCAGGTTACAAACAGAGCAACTGTTCGAAAAATGAACTCGTAGCTAGCAGGTGGTTGGCTCCTTTTGCTTCCTAAAGACCGTCAACCAGCCATTCCGACTTCCCCATGTTGAGACCTCAGGTGCGGTCGCTTTCCCGCAGCGGCTAATGGAGGCTGGCTACACTTTTCGAAACCACTTACTAAGCCTTATCTCAGGGAAAATAAAATTTCTGTAGAGGTGTGCGGTTAAACAGTTTGAGATTGTGAAGGATTAGAATGTTGACAATCTGCCAAAGCAGGGATCGTAGTATTGGGCTACAGTGTTCATTGTATCTGATAGATAGATAGATAAGATACTTTATTGATCCCGAGTGAATCGAGCATCCAGTAGCAGGTTACAAAGATGTACATGAAATGAAACATTTGCTAAAAATTAACCACAAAAACGAGGCCCCCGCCCATACATATATATTAACCCGAAAAACAATATATCTAAGAATACCCCTAGATGAATCAACATATTTTAGCAATGTTTAAAAAGAATAAAATGATCAAAAAACAGACATTTAATAACAGTCAGTGCAAACATTAAAGGTGCGATTTAAATTTAAATAATTGAGGTTATCATTAAAGTGTCCAACTAGAGGCTGACTCTTGGGACAGCTGTGCAGATGGGAAATGGAAAAAGGAGTATTTAGTCCAAGAGTCACTGAGTGCTTTCCCCCTGCCATCACCGTGAGGTGTTGTACAGACGTATGGCCAGGGGGACAAAAGAGTTCTTTAGTCTGTCTGTGGAACAGGATTGTAACAGCAGTCTGCCACTGAACACACTCCTCTGCCTGGTGAAGGTGCTGTGCAGAGGGTGGTGGGTGTTGTCCATGATGGAGAGCATTCTGTTCAGGGTCCTTCTCTCTGCCACTGTCACTAGAGAGTCCAGCTCTGTGCCCACCACAGAGACAGCCTTCCTCACCAGTCTGTCCAGCCGTGCTGTATTCCTCTTCTTGCTGCTTCCTCCCCAGCACATCACAGCATAAAAGAGGACACTCTCCGAGGCCACCACGGACTGGTAAAACATCTGCAGCAGCTTTTTACAGATGTTGAAGGACCCCAGCCTTCTCAGGAAGTACAGACGGCTCTGTCCCTTCCTGCAGATAGTGTCCATGTTTGATGACCAGTCCAGCCTGTCGTCCAACTGCAGCCCCAGGTACCTGTAGGTCTTGACCACCTCCACGTCGACCCCCCCGATGGAAACAGGTTGGGGATGTGGCTTGTTCCTTCGGAAGTCCACCACCATCTCCTTGGTCTTAAAGGTGTTCAGCTGCAGATGGTTTGAACTGCACCACCTCACAAAGTCCCCTACCAGGCTCCTGTACTCCTCCTCCTGTCCATCCTTGACACAAACAACTATCACAGTGTCATCCGAGTATTTCTGCATGTGGCAGAGCTCGGAGTTATACTGGAAGTCAGTATACAGGGTGAACAAGACAGGGGAGAGCACAGTCCCCTGTGGTGCTCCGATGCTGCTGACCACAGTGTCAGATGTGCAGTTCTTCAGTCTGATGTACTGCGGTCTCTCTGTAACCCTTTTCACACATACGGAAATCCCCTTGAAAAACTCCAGAGATTAGGCTACCCGGAGGGACTTCAGGCTATGTGTGAACGCAAACAGCCGCATTTTTCGCCTAGACTTTACCCGGAGTTTCTCCGGCCAGACCCCTAGTATTTCATCCGCAGAAAGTCAGAGTGAGTTGATGTATGAACGCGGCCGCTTATACTCCGGAGATTTAAATTCGAGCCAATGGGACCCGAGTGACGTTTATATACAGTGACTGCTTAAAGTGTCTGCACGCGACCACTACGATCGCCGTGCACGTAATTAAACGGCTGCATTATGTTTTCTGTTCGGCTGTATGTTGTTCTCTACTCATTTGTGGATGTTGTCATTCCATTGGATTACACATAGCATTGATTAAAAGGCAAATATTCTCATTATAAATGTTGTGTAGCGGACTCTGTTGCTTCGGCCGCTACTTCTCCGGAGAAGTCCTCCTGTAAATATCTAGATATTATCCGGAGTGCATATGTGAAAATGGCTTGTGAGGCAATCCGTGATCCATCTCACCAGGTGAGAGTCCACCCTCATCTCGGTCAGCTTGTCTCTCAGTAGGAGGGGGTGGATGGTATTAAAGGCGCTTGAGAAATCAAAGAACACGATTCTCATCACGCTGCTCCCTTTGTCCAGATGAGAGTAAACCCTGTATAGTAGATAGAGGATGGCATCGTCCATGCCTATCTTCGCCTGCTAAGCAAACTGCAGTGGATCCTGGTCATGGTGGACCTTGGGTCTGAGGAGATGGAGCAGCAGCCGCTCAAAGGTCTTCATGATGTGGGATGTCAGTGCAAATGGCCTGAAGTCACCTGGCTCACTGGGTTGAATTTTCACGCCCTCCCAGACCTCTCTCGTGTTGTTGTTCTGCAGCTTCTTCTCCACCTTCCTTCTGTACACCTCCTTTGCCTCTCTGAGCCGGACCTTGAGTTCCCCTTGCATGCGCTTCAGCTCTGCCTGGTCTCCTTCCTTGAATGCCCTCTTCTTCCAGTTAAGGATGTCCTTGAAATTACTGGCAATCCAGGGCTTGTTGTTAGGGAAGGAGCGCACAGTTTTTGTGGGGACCGCAACGTCCATACAGAAGTTCATGTAGTCAGTTGTGCAGTGTGTGACCCCCTCGATGTCCTCACCGTGTGGCTCTTGCAAGGCGCTCCAGTCAGTCGACTCAAAACAGTCTCCACTGCCTCAGGAGACCACTTTCTGAAGGTGCGTGTGGTTACTGGGTGTTTCTGAATCTGTGGCTTGTACTGTGGGGTAAGAAGGACCAGGTTGTGATCAGACTTCCCCAGTGGTGGTAGAGGGATGGCAGTCTAAGCTTCTTTGACATTTGCATACAGGAGGTCTATTGTCCTTTTCTTCCTGGTAGGACAGCTTACAAACTGGTTTAAGTCTAGTAGTGTTGAGTCCAATGCAACATTGTTGAAGTTCCCAGAAATGGCAATGAATGCTTCAGGGTGTTGTGTTTGTAATGCCGCGATAGTGGAGTGGATGACGTCACATGCGGTCTCAGCGTGCGCTCCCGGAGGAATGTAAACACAAACAACAATGGTGTGGGAGAACTCCCTGGGCATGTAGTATGGTCGGAGACTCATGGCTCTGCAGCCTCTGTACCTCCGTCTCAGCTCCTCAGGTATGGGGTGAACGATGCCGGCTTGTCCCACTGTTCGGAGTGAGAGCAGCTTCTCCCTTGAATAAACAAGTTTTTCCGCTGCTATATTCCCGAAAAGAAGAAAAAGTATCCATAGGCTATATAATGTTCTACACCATAAGTGTACTAAAAAAGTAAGGTTAGCAGAAACACTGATAAAATATTAAAAACGAATAAAGGGACAGGGACGGAGATAGTGGATATGCGGCCACTCGCGTCTGCGCCGGAAGTCTAGTGATGCAGTTCTATGCTCACATACGCTTCCCCTCCCCTTTTGCTTCGCAGCGGAGCGAAACTTAAGAGTTGGTCTGTAATGAGAACTCCATCTCAGTTATATGGAACTATTTGAGATGTTTCCAAACCGACAGGGCGTAAGAAACGGTTATTTACAGAGTTTGGACAGTTAGGATTTGCACATTGGAAAAACAACAAACCCTCTTAACAACCCCAAGAGATGTTATCCCAAACAGTCTGCTGAGAGTCAAACAGAGCGGAGCTCAGACACACAGTCAGCGATGGGAGAAAACAAACTGTTGTTTAAAATGTTGCTGTCTGTGTTTTTTTGCTCTCTCTTGGAGAAGTTACTAACGAGCCTCTCCACTTGAAGCTCACCTGTTGTGATAACGGAATCAACAATGAAAAAAATGTTATGAAACAGAGGGAGGGGATCATATCAGCGAGGTCCAAACTTAAGTTTCTATAAAAATATATCTAAATCCTGTGGTCTGTTAAAAATATTTTGCCCGGTAACATTTTTTGCTTACCAGTGAGTTTTAGACCCTGGTCTATTATCACTACTTCCCTGTTCCTGCTAATATTACAAATACTTGTAATATTATGCATTATTGACTGCACTGCCATAAATCTGTATTAGCTGCTGTTGTCTCTATCCATCTCCTCTTTTCTGCATCTCCCTCTATCCCACTTTCCAAACACAGCAGCTGTTGAAGATGCGTCTGGTGCTGTTCAGGGATTCTGTCAGTTCATCTGTCAGGTTAAAAATAAGTTTTTCTTTGCCACCATTACTATGTAGTGTATGTGAGTGACGCCGAGATCGAAAAGCAACACCTGGCACATGTCACGGGAAATGGAATTGCCACTTAGAGATCAGCGGCCTGATGCTGTTATGGCACGGCACATGGAAGTTCCAGTGGCCTGCCGGCTGCGGGCCTGCATCTTGAACCACTAATTTACTGCTGTAAACGTGTACTTTTTTTCTTTATTGACAACATGAGTGCAACATATTAAATAATTTTGGACATTTATATTGTGCTTTGTACATGTTCACTATACTGAACCTTTTATTTTCTGGTATCTCCGTGGTGACAGTAAAGTTATTTCATTTACATTTATTTTCCAATGTTACCAGAAAGCTCTTAGCAGAGCTAATCCCAGCTAAGGTACACGTAGCCACTGCAGCCAGTCAGAGTAATCGATAGCAGAAAGTGTGATCCCACTTGTAGGCATCATATTAACCTCCGCCTTGAGGAGATGGCCGACTTTTTATGGCTTAAATGATGGCGCCAACACAGCATTCACTTTTTTACAGGCATATTTATGACTGGTGTAGATGTTGGACTGCATTTTGTTTACCAATGACATAGTTTCACCGTGCGTTCTATTGACCGCTATCACAAAATGTACATGAAACAACTTCATGGTGGAGGTGGAAGATTGTTGTTTTGCTCGTGGTGAATTAATGTTGCATCTCTGTCAATAATATGTCAAAAAGTACAGTCTTTTGTAAAGTGTCTTAACATTTTCAATGAATTGGTGCTAAAAAAAAATAGATTAATTGATTCTTTAAACTCAATAATGCACTTGAAGAACTATTGCTAAAATGCTCCTTAGGTAAACAATCTATTCCAAGTAAATAATAGCGTACATTTTGCAATGATGAAGCATAAACATATTGACAATCCCTTTATGGATTTATTTAGTGAAATAAATATTTTAAAACCCTTACTTGTGTACCTTTCAATTAAGCAGATCTTAATAATAGCTGAAGATAAATAAACACTGGGAATAAAGGATTGGCCCCAAAATACTATTTAGCAACACAATAATGTAGGTTCTTCTAATGAAGCTCACAGCATGTTGAAATTATACCAACATAATACAAAGAAAAGGCTTCCTGCTGAGGGGTGGCCTGGTCAATACTTAGCCAAGTAATTCAGCTAAGTGACATTAGGTGTAGCCTTCAGCTGTATGGCATATACCTCTACAGTGAAAGAATCCTGGATGCATAATAGGATATTGTAAGATATAAACTGTGCATTAAAATTGCTCATTGTACATGTTTGTAAACTGGACTGCTGCATCACGACATAATTCCTGGTGCATGTGTGCAGGCTGTGTATTAGGTGGCAATCCTTACGCATGACAAACTAAGTACGCAGATTGACCTAAAGAGCACAAATCCGATGGTGTTTGATATTGAAACAAAAAGGCAGGATAATTACCAGGGTGCTTCCTTTTCTCACATCTTCCAACCTCTCCAAAACTTGCGCTAAGCTCGGGTCATCAGAGTCCACAAACCATATCGGAGGCGTAGATGGATAAGATTCCTAAAACACATTGACAAAAAGGGAGAAAGAAAAAAAATGAGACAGTCACGTCATCAAATCTGAGCAAAAAACGCTGTATACTTTTGTGTCGCAGGGGTTTAACACAGTCAAGAGAATAACGTGACATTAGCATCCAGAGTGCAGCGTTAGCTCACACCGATGTGAGTGTATAAACCTTGTGTGTGTTCCTGCTCCCTTACCGTTATGTTACAGTGGATAATTAAGAGCTTTTCTCCTGTTACATTAAACTGACAGCTCAGCTCATCGGGTTTCCAGTCAATGATCCTGAAGCGTTCGTGGTTCGGATCAAAAATGGATTCCAAAAACTTCAGCTCGGCCTTCAGCCCCGACACCGACATCTTCCGTGCATCTCCGGCCGGGCCGCTGGGGAAGGGGGAGAAGTCGGGACTTAGCTCTCGGCTAACTAGCGCCACCACGTAATTCTCACTCCTTGAAAAAAAAAATGGCTTTAAAAAAAGTGGCAAAGAGATGAAACACAAGTCCAAGTGTGTGCTGCTGGATACTTAGCAACCTGCTGTAACCTGCGTGTGGTCAAATGTGCAGCGCAGCCCGAACAAGATTTCGCTGATGAAGGTAGCTATTAGCTTAGCTCTCAGTTAGCATTTGAAATCAGCGCAGTACTAGCGAGTTAGCTAGTCCGTTGTTGTTGTCGTCTTTCCGTCTATTGTTATTGCCTGTCTGTGACAACACTTATTTAAGGCTCCCGTGGTGTCCAGTGACCAGCTCCTCACAGTCCCGTCAGACAAGTTCCTTATGGGTTACTTAGCCGGAGAGTAATCATAGCAGCTGCATGATCTGAACTTATATTCCGCTGTAATGTGTGTTTTTCTTTTTTCATCCCCGGTAATACAACTGTGACTACTGGCCTCTTGTGGGGTTTAAAGATGGCGTTTTGCGAGCTACCCGTTCCCGCAGAATCCCAGCATTCAGCGCGTCCTCGATTTATCTGAGAGTCAGAAAAATAATAACTAAAAGTTGTAACAGTGCAGTAATCGTCAAATTTTAACAGGGAACAATATATGTATTATTATTTTAAAAAAATTGTGAGAATAAGGAAGCGATTTCCTGCCCTCTTTGTTTCAGGTTTATACTTTTGAACACTCATTTATTGGTACTTTCCTAATAAGTTTAGTTAATTAAAGATGCCTTTTAATTATTAAGGTAATGTAACAATGGACATCTTGGTTTATGTGGTGTCCTTGGGGAAGTTGGTCTCACTACATATCACTTGTATTTCATAAATAATTCTGTATCCTCTTCCTACTCAGCCACTGCTTAAACAAAAATGTTGCTGCTTAAAAGTAATGCTTTGCCATGTGAGCAAATGTGCGTCTGAGTGAGCATCAGTGTAACACTTTATAACTTGTAATAATTTCTCTACTAACATCTGGCTGTTCAGCCTTTGACACGATAGATCATTCTTTATTATTAGGAAAGTTGAGACTCTACTTAATCGTCATTAAAATGGATGGATAACTACTACAAAAGAGAGGCATAAAGTTTTCCTTTAATGGCAGTATGTCAAAAATGACCAACCCCACATGTGGAGTACCTCAACGTAGCTGTCTAGGACTGCTATTTATTTTTTTTTACTACTGATGTTCATTTTGTCTTAGAAAAGACTCAAATCACTATGTATGAGGATGACTATACTATATGCAGCTGCTTTATCAATAGGTGAACTGAACAATATTTTACATAAGGAGTTGAAGCTGGTGTTAGAATTAATAAAAAAAACAATACATTGATTAATAATAATAACAATAATGTTGATAAAACAAAGTCCATTGTATTAGGTTCAAAGTGTCAGTTAAAAGCTGAAATTAAATTTAAATAATATACCTATTGAATGTACACGCACAAGAGATTTATGTTTATCGAAACATATATTACTGCACATAAATGCAAAAATCCTACATATTATTATTTGTATAAAAAAAACAAGTCTGACATGAATTCTGACCTCTTTGGATTATGATTGTGTGTTCTTTTGCCGAATATATTTTAAAGTATGGCCATGTGTTTCGGTTTTGTATTTACTTTGTTAATTCTGTATATCTATAAAAAATAAAATAAAAACAACACTTGTTTATAACATTAAATAAACACATTTTAGACATGAGGAAGAAAAGAATCATGCCTAAGTAAAGTGCAAAATTGTGTATGGCTATAGGAAAGGCACGCAGGTGTAATATTAGTTAGATCCACCTCCAGTTAAGCCTTCTGCTATTGTTTAACCAAACCCTCTAATTTGTGTAAGCATAACAGTGCATATTCTTCTATTAACTGCAGCTCATATACAGGAAATTGCTTAATTGTGGCATAAGTGTACATTTGCATCAAATCAAGTCTGTAGTATTACCTAATGCCCACTAGAGGGAAGTGTTGGTTTAAGTTCTTAACAGCTTGGGTCACCTTATCACAACAATACTTTCTGCTGTTTGTCCCTGGATCCACTAATTTGTGGTTATACATACATAAAAATGTATCCTGTTTATAGCTATATATTTTTTTTTTTTGACAGGACAACAGAATGTTCTTTTTTTGTACATTTACAGTGAATCTACTTTTTGATCACTATAATGAGAAAACTAAACAGATTTGTTTAGAGTTAAAGGGTTAGGATTGAGAAGAATAAATACCAGGAAGCTGGCAGAAACCTTCAGAAGGCATTCATTAACCAATTAATTCAATAATATAGATAGTGTGATTGTTTTGGGAGCACAAACCTTAAACGTTTAAGAGCTATTACCTTTGAGTATGAACTAGTAACATTTATTTTCTTATTTCCTCTCTAAATATATGTTTGGCATAAAGAGTGGAGGACATAGTCAAGCCACTTGCACATTACTTTCAGAAGTTTGTGGATAGAATTATTAAGTCACCTTATATCTGACGAGGGGTATTTTCAGGGAGTGGCCTTGGGCCTCCTGCGAAAATCTGATTGACCACCTTAGAGTCCCCATAAACTAAGATTGTTCATCTGCCCAGAGGTTCAAATCTTATCAGCATTTTACTAAAGGGCTAAGCTTTGTTGCATTTCCATGCAGCACATTTTTAGTTGTTACTTGTGACTTTTTGAGATGCATCCTCCATTGAATCCTTATAGAATGAAGCTCAGATGAATTATATTTTAAATATATTTATTTCAAATATAAATGAAAACTATATTTGTGCTAACTGTCAAATCATACCTATAATCAATGGTGAATAAATGCTATTTCAGACATGTGTGTATTACTCAATGCTACTCCTGTCTAAATTGAGCCACCCCAGTGAAAAAAAGCCAGACACACCCTCTGACCACTTCTCTTTGACATTGAGCCGTTTGAGAAGAGGTATGAACATTTACTGTAACTTAGTCTGAACAGCGTGAAAGGGGTTGACCACAGTTCTTTCAGTTCTCTATCTAAGTTGTAGTTTGAGCTTTCGGTGTTGAGGAACAACATATTGATTTGCTATTTAAAAACACAGCCCCATGACCTCAAACAGCCTCGGCCATCCCAACGCTTCGTATGTGAGCAGACAGATTCTTAGGTTCAGTGTTGAATATTGCAACTGTGTGATAAGAAACAACCTCTTACAATCTAGCTGAAGTCACTGAGTGGTGGCTGTAAGGGCAGGGGCTTTGTTAATGTAATGTTTCCTTGAAAAAGGTCAACGTTCCAGTCTAACAAACATTGTAATCATGTTTTGGTTGGGGTAGCAAAGGTGCTGGTGTAAAATTTAGAATAGATGTGAAAAACACAAAATGTGACTGACCTTTTTTGCTGACTCTGGAGGGAAATGATTTAGTTTCCTGTTTAACCTATAGTATAACGGCATACTTCCAGAAAGGAAGATAGGGTAGTTGAATGTGATTGAAACAATAAGGAAACAATAAGGAAACACTTTATGAAACGGAAACATCACAAGACCTGAAAGTAATAATGTAATTTAAATATAATCTGATTATGACTCATATTGTAAGATCTATAACTAACAGACCTGATTACTTTATGCATCTTCCACATATTTTTTGCCCTTCCTTTTCACCTCTATTGAACCGCCATTGACCTTTGCATCGGATGTTGACTTTACTTGAGCAGGTTCAATCAATTAGTGTATGTTCTTCATGTGTAATTGCTTCATGTTGTTTGCTTATCGATGAGACTGCATTGAGGAACTTGGCCTCTACATGTGTTTGCTGTTAGGGTGTTAGGCTATAGAAGACAGCAGCTATAAAACATTTCGCCAAATGCAATTAAGCCTCCACGCTACAGTAGATGTGATTCCAGTAATAGATAGAGTTGTCAGTTTTCAGAATATGTCCTCTTAAATCCTGACAAGCCATTAATGAAATTCCAGATAGAAATATACACGGCATAAATACTTAATGTTGTTTTGCATATATGTGTAAAATAAAGGGTGTCGCAAAAAAAAAATGACATTGTATACGTTTCCTTGAATTGCAGCTACATTCTAGTCATCAAGGGGTCATGTTAATAAGGGGAGGAGACGCATATCTGAGAAAATGTATCCTTGATGCTTAAATGATGTTCTATATTTTAGCCTAATAATTTATAAAACATTCTCCTTAGAGCATACTCTTATATATTCAGGGATCTTACAAAGGTCGGAGAAACTAAACCTAAAACACGAAACTAAAACTAAATCTTTGGTTGAATCCTTTTCCATCTTGTTTTATGATTGAGCAGCTGACATGTAGTTTGTCACAGTGAGCCTGTGTACGCAATAATAAAGAGGCAGACGGCTGCTGTCCTCTGTGATTTATCCTGCTCTTCTGCTCTCCATCTGCACTTGACCAAAAGCTAATTAAAACCCCTGTCTTGTGTCTTCATTCCATCCTGGACAGCAAGAGCAAATCATCTCCCACCATTCACAGCCTTTATGATTTCTTTATGATCAACAGCAGAGCTGAAATCAAAGGGGGCAGCATGGAGGCTTTATTAGCTTTATTATTTTGACCTAACTTCATTACGAGATGCAATGTCTTTCATCTTTAATTCCTGTCATCCCCGTTGGATACTCTATTAAAAATTGTTGTGTGTGAAGGCGAGATAGCGAAACAGCTCGTTACATACAGTAGAATTAATACAGCCAAATTGAGGTTGCACTAACTGCTACTCCTCGACTTTGCTATTTCTTTGAACTTTCTTTTAAACTTTTTGGAACAATAGGGTTTAACCTAATAGTCCTCTGTTGAAAAACAATCTGATGTATCAAAGCCCCTGTGATTTTTAAACTGTTGTCTTATCAGAATGAGAATCAGCATGAGAAATACTTTATTAATCCCAGAGGGAAATTCGGTGGGGATTTGAAGTGGTTTAGATGTTTAGCATTAGACACCTGAAGCCATTCCTCACAGTGCCCTACTGCTGATTCACCACAAACAGCAGGGCTGTTTGTCAGAGGAGACTGCACCATTCCCACCAACGAGGAGTGATAGTCAATTTTCTTCAAGGGAACAGTGAGTAATGGTGCAGGGGCAGAGAAGACAGTTCACATCCAGGACACAGAGCCCTCACAGTGAGGGTGTCATACAGTATGTGCTTGCATCATCCACGCAACTGACCAAGATGGTTGGTCATTTACAGGGAATCTTTATCTCTCACACCTATAGAAAATGCCCACTCAAAGCTTTATTTTCATTATACAACACAAAAGTAAAGCCCTATTTTTATGCAATAATAAAGGAGAACCATCCATGGCACCAATAGATTAGTAGAGCTACACTAGACCTTTTTTCAGCTTACTGTCTGTGTGTGGTTCAAAATAAATGATATGAACTGCATGTTTTTGGGGACTGATGATCATATGTTCTTGCTCATTATTTTGAAAATCTTTAATCAGTCAAACCAACTGCTGGAATTGATGTCATGACAGATGTACTTATC